GGGTGTGATAAATGAATTTACTTCAGTTGTCTGATATCGGCTGATGATGTCTTCCTACTGATTGGTTGGATGCTTGCTGCGTGTTCTGCGTGTTGCTTGATGTTCTCTTCTTTGCTTGTGCTTTTATTGTCCTCTACTTCACTTGTTGGCGTCGATTTTGTGTGTATTGCCGGTTGGTGAACTGTTCCGAGTTCATGAAATCATCGTATGTAAATGAGCTGAGAGTGCAGCTGATATTGTGTGTATTGCTGGTTGGTGATCTGTTGCTGTTTCTGACCCGGTGTTGTTTGTGCATTGTGTTAAGAGTTTCACAGGTCATGGCGGGTCGGTAAATGAGCTGAGAGTGCAGCCGCAGAAGCCCGAGCTTCTTCTATCCGCTAGCAAGGTGAATTTTGTATTCGATGTTTACTTATGATCGACCTATTGATTGTGGATGTTGGATGTTAAGACGAGTTCGACAATGGTTGAATCATCCCTGCCGGTAACGACTTGTGCGTGTTAAGACGAGTTCGACATCACGTCTGATCTTTTTAATATGTTGTTGCAAACTGCTGGCAGACCTGCCAGTGTTGTTTTGTGTTATCGTGCAGTGTTGTTTTTGTCGTCCTTTCCTGACCTGCATGAATAGCTTGTTGTTCTTCTCTTCTTTTTGTGGATGAAGTAGTCTGTACAGATTGATGTTGACAGATTCATGGCTGTGCCTGTACCAGCTTCTTCTACGTACACCTGTGTGTAAGTACCCAAAGAGTTGCGCGGGTGATGTTAACTTATGGCAAGGAAGGAAGTGGCCTGTGGTCGGTTGATTGATGATTGATGGGTGATTAAGCGGTCTGATTGGATGATTGGTTGATTGATTAAGCGATGTGATTGGCTGATTAGTACGTGATTTATCGACAGTGGAAGCGTAGATCAAGCGATGTGAGCGGCTGATTGTGATTGGCTGATTAATCCGTGATTTATAGACAGTGGAAGGATTGATTAAGCGATGAGATCGGCTGATTGGTCTGCGTCTCGTTGAGCTGTCCTGTCCTCTTGGTTACCCATTTGTTCGTCTGCTCGTGGATTTAGGGTGAGCGTTTTAGAAAAAGGTCAATCGAGCTGTTCTCCTCTTTGCGGATATGAAGTGATTCTTTGGTGAACGATATTCGGTTTGTGTTTGGTACACCTTTGTTTTTAATTCGGTACGTACTCCACAGTAATCTCGAACTGCGGCATTTTCAGAGAATGTCTTTTTGTTTTTAATTCGGATTGTTTGGGCTTTGTTAATTTGCACTGTGTTGATTTTTCCAGGATGAGTCCGTGAGGCTATGGAATATAAAGACTGGAGTATGTGTGCTCATCTTGGCGGGTTCAGCAGCTCATCGCAATGAAGTTCTCAGCGTGGTAAGCTGATACAAACTCGTATTTGTTGGCATAGAACATGCGCTTGTATTTGTCTTTAAGGCTCACGGATTTTAAAATCACCAGTGTCGCGGAATGTCAGAGTTGCGGTCTAGTATTGGCCAACCCGTCTCTGGACACATACCCGGACGCCTGCACCTAAACTGGGTAATGGTCCCAGATTTTTTCACCGGGTTGTTTGTGGAGGGTTTCCCGGCCTCCAATTTGTCTTTTGGTAATGAACGGATCCTCTCTCCTTGTAAAAAAAACAATAAAAAAAATCATCAGTGTCTCTGGACCTGGCCTGTCGAGCATAACAAATTTCTAAGGCCTTGTAGTGAATCGGTTTATAAAACACCACTGGGGTGAAAGAGCCGATCGAGTGGCTCTCGTTTGGCTTGTGCTTGACCGGGTGCGAATGTATTTTAGCTGCCGTTGGCTTTCATTTGCCCGTCTCCAACCGTATATACGCAGCTCGCTTGCATCTTTCCGGATAATAGGGGACAAATTTGAGGGAGTAGTGGCTTTCACGCCGGAGTATAGGGAGATGCTTCGAGGTAGTGGTGGTGTTCACGGTCTGGCAGATGTGTGTTTGCTTGTCTAGCGATTGAAGAAATGGTTGAGGGTTGTGTATTGTGTGTTAGGGAATGCCGTATATTGTTGACGTCATGCTGTATAAATGGTGCTGATGGCAAAAGAAAAGGTGGTACCGTTGGTGGTCTTTTTGGTTGTGGCTGGGAGAGCTCTGCCTCGTAAAGCGGATACAAGAGATTTGATGAATTGGGTTGTTGTCTGTCTGTCGTCAGCACTTCGTAATTTCATGTATAGAGTCCGTGCCTTCACGGGATGGTTGGTTGATCACGTATGTTTCTGTGGGTAGTAGACTGGATGGAAAAGGTCTGCCAACTGACTTTTCAGGAGGATTGACGGATGGGAAAATCCTGCCAACTGGCTATGGAGATAAGACAAAGAGAAGGGGATGTTTGTGGGAGGATGTATTGGCACTAATGTTTCTCTTGAGTCTGTATCTTTTGGGGAGAGGAAAGGAAGATGAGCTCTCGGGTCTGGTGTTTCTCTCGTGTGTAGTGTTTTGATGTTTCTCTCGGTCTGGTGTTTCTGGTGCTTCTACTGCATTGGCATTGATGTGTCTCTTCGTGGGGCAGAGAAGGGGAAGAGCACCTCTTAGGTCTGGTATTTCTCTCCGCTCTTGTGTTTCTGATGTATCTCTCGGGTCTTGTGTTTCTGATGTTTTTGTCGGGTTTGGTGTTTCCGGTGGTTCAGATGTTTTGGCGCCGATGATGAACTTGGTGAATGCTGACAGAGAAGTGCGTTATTTTTGTTCTTGTCTTTGCAGGATTTTCATCCATCGGACATGAAGAAGATACTGAGCTGTGGCATGGACAGTAGCATCAAGATCTGGTCGCTGAAAGGTAAGCGGATCGCCCGAATGATAGAGCGCCTGTTATTGTAACTGTATTTGGTGCAAATTTCATTTCTATATACGGTGATGAGTGCTGGCGTTCTGTTCGGGTGAAGACGTTAGGTGTAATGAAAGACGTCAGGTTTAATGACCCACAATAACGCCTCCACTGAGTCAAAAGATATGCTGAGTTTTTTTTTGTTTTTTGTTTTTTTTCGCTGTTGCGTTACGTAACGAATTGGATATGCCGATGTGATGCCCATGAGCGCGCGTTCCCCCCCCTCCCCCACCCCCCCGACCTTCTGCTAGTTCTTATCAGCCACGTAACAGATTGGGTATGCCGATGTTGATGTCGCCGAGTTTGACATCTTTGCTCCAAACAACTTTGCGGGGGTAACTGCTGCCTATCGGCGGTTGGTCGGTGTTGAGAAGCAACGCGCCTTTCGGAGTAGCTTTCTCAGAAAATCAGTGTGCTCTCTGAGTAGCTTTTACAGCAGCAGTCTCTGGCAATCAACGTGCTTTTGGTCTCACTTCGATGCTTTTGGTATGACTTCGATGCTTTTGATATCACTTCGATGCTTTTGATATCACTTTGATGCCTTCGGTAACAAGAATTAGTGTTAAGCGTGGGCATTCTATCACGTTGATGTTTTTTTTTGTTTTGTGATGTTTTTCTGAGGAACTGTTGTTATCTTGTGCGGTGGCTGCAGATTTCTGGCGGTACGTTGAAATGTCTTTCACATGGGATGGTCTGAGAACGGATTTCCCGACCAAGTACGTCCAGTTTCCGGTGAGTTTTACTATTTTTGGAGTTCAGATTTTGCGTACTTTTATTTTTATTAATGTTTTTTTCTAGCAAAACCAGTTCGATTTCGAGGAGGGTGTAGGGTAGAGACAGGCGAGGTTCTTTTGTGTTAATGCTTCGGCCTCAGTGACGACTTCGTTTGTATTAATGACAGTCTCTCTGAGGGTGGAAAATAATTCTACAACCAATTATACTGAAAACGTTAGTCAGCTTTTAGCTATGCATGTCATCATGAACAAAAAAATGAATCATGATAAAGATTGGTATCAATTATGATAAGAGTACTGTTATCGACAGATGTTGGGCACTACGGACGTCTCTGTGTATATATTTGACGATATAATCTGGAATTTTTTTTTTTTTGTATACTGTTTTTTTCGCCTTTCCGGTCTGATATTCATGTGATGATATACACGTATGTATGTATACTGTTTACCTATGGCTACGGTTCACTGCACAGTTCTCTATGAAGATATATATTGTCACACTGAATCAGAGCGCGAAGGCGATAAAAAGCAAAACAAGGAAAGGAAAAGAAGGAAGGAAAGCCCCACCTGTTCATCACTTCTTACGTACAAGGACAGCCACGTGGATGACAGGTTGAGCGCTGGCTTCCCCCGTCTCCGTGTGTCACAAGGACCCACTTGCACGCAGCCAAAAGGCTAAGAGGTAAAGAAAAGGAGGAAACCAGACCGCACAGAGGCAAGAGAAAGAGAAAGGAATCGAATCAAAGAAAAGACAAGGGAAGAAAGCAAATGACACATCCCACAGATAAACCAATTGCCACTGTCACTTCAAAGTTCAACATATTTTCTTTTTTCCTTTTTTCTTGTTTTCTTTTTTCTTTTCTCCAGAAATTTGTACTTCTTTTCTTTCTTTCTTTGTTTCTTTTGGTTTTGATTTTTCTCTTTCTTGAAGTCTTCTGTTGCTCCTAATCGCTTGATTCTATTGGCCATTCAGGAAGACGAGCCCCCACCCCGGCAGATAGGACAGCTACGGTGAGGATGATGTGGATGTTCGCAAGGATGCCCAAGGAGAGCTGCGCCAGCACAGCATTCTGCAGGACGGCTAGCACGAACCATCCCATCAAAACAGTCCTGACAAAGGACATGCTGTCCACATATAAAAAAAAACAGCAGGACGTTCATCACAGTGCGCCATCATGCAGTCCTGATAGGGTCCTTCAGCACAAAGGGGACAATGAATATCTGGGTGACAGGGATGTGTACAATGAGGAAATGTTGGACACCCTTCGGCACAGACGGCGGCGGCTGCAATAGATTGATAATGTTGATGGCACAGGTGACGAATTCTGCAGCCAAGACGCACCGTGTCCCTGTCCTGACGGCTGTCACACGAGAGTCGGTCAATAATCTAGAATAACGTATGATTCGGCGATGCACATTGATTATGTTGAGAATAGCCTGAATCATTATCCCGCCATCCCACAGTTCCCATTGGGCAGCTGCACGAACGAGTGCCATGTAATGCGCGGGTCTGTGCAAAATACAGACAGAAATGTGAGGATCGTCATTAAGGTCATTCCCTGGCGTCGCATGATGCAGAAGAAGGTGGCGACCGTGGAATGCTAGCTGTAGGGCATTTCTAGTAAAGCCTCCTGAGGTAGTGTAATTACTATCTTCAGGAGGTGGATCAGTATGGGCATACAACAATTGCTTTTCAATAGCGTCAAGCGGATAAGCAATCGTGACAACATGGGAAGCAGTATAACATTGACGCTGATAAGCCTGCTAGCTGTAAGACATTTACAGGAAAGCTTCCTGAGGTAGTATAGTTACTACGCTGATAAGCCTGCTAGCTGTCAGACATTTACAGTAAAGCCTCCTGATGTAGTATGATTACTATCTTCAGGAGGTGGACCATTATGGTCATACAGCTGATTTTCAATAGCGTCAAGCGGATAAGCAATCGTGACAACATGGGAAGCAGTATAACATTGACGCTGATAAGCCTGTAGGCAGACATTTGTGGCTGTCAATCCACAAGTATTTGGTAGATCTGCCCGCAGATCCGATTCGGTCACCACTGGAAAGCTAGGTCTGGTCTGGCGGGGTCTGATCTGGCGCAGGAATGACGAACGCAGTCGACGTGGCAGAGCAGGCTGTCCGTAAGGCAAAGAACCCTGCAGATTAGCATCAACACGACGTTGAGAGGAAGGAGAGAATGAACGAACGTGCCGACGTCCCAATATGGACAACGAAGAAAGGAGGGGCAAATGAAGAAGAAAAAGAGGAAGAAGAAGAAGAGGAAGAAGACAAAGAAACGGATTGAGTATAAGGGAGGTAGAAGAAGGAGAAGAAGATGAAGAAGAGGATGCTGGCAGAGGAAGGAAATGGAGAGGGAGGGGGAGAGGTGGAACGGGAAGCGGAGGGAGGTGGGGAACGGGGAGAAGGGGGAAGTGGAGAGGAAGAGGAGAAGACACAGGAGGGGAAGATGGACAAGAAGGGGGAGGGGGAGGAGGAGAGGAAGGTGGAGGGGAAGTGGGAGGGGTCGGAGGGGTTAAGGGGGAAGTGGAGAGGGAGAGGCGAAGACTGAGGACGGGAAGATTGACAAGAATGGGGAGAGGGAGGCGGAGGAGGATGAAAAGAATCAAAAGAGGAAGGGGGAGGAGGGGGAGAGGGAGGAGAGAAGGAAAGGGGATGAGAAGGTGGAAGAGGATCCACAGACCAGCGAAGCATACATTGAAACCGGTGTGTAGTTACCTATATAGGTTGTCGACGTTGGCGAGCACGAATGCAACAAGTCCATCCGCGGTCCAATGTCGAAGTAGCATGGCCACGGGAAAGAAAACGACGGACAAGCATGGTTGCCGCAGTTCTGAAATTATGCCAATTGTCACAAATCTGCTCAAATCATCAGCCCTTTGCACTGGGTGTACTACGTAATCACAGGTTGATGTTCGAAGTATGTCAGCTGTGTCGACCCAGTGCATACATTATACGTGTGCAGATGAATTAATTGGCATGCAGGCTCTACAAAGCCAGTTGCTGCGGATCTCAGACGTCTGCAGAAATCAGCCGCAATCAGTGATTAGCATCCATCCCAAAATAGCTTTTCGAGTGTGAAATAGTCACCAGAGGGTTTGTGCGTTCCAGGTGTGAAATAGTCACCAGAGTGTTTGTGCGGTTAAAGAAAGGAGTCGTCCACATTTGCGATCCGATTGTTTTTGTTTGCTGAACTTGATGCTGTCCGGTCCAACCAATCGAGATCTAGATTGGAATCTAGATCGTGTTGATTGTTCGAGTCTCTACTCAATAGATTTCGGATGATCCCACTATAGGATCACTGAATTGTCCTTGTTACCACGGTGGAGTTACTTTACCAATCGCCACGTTGTCGAATTTTTGGTACAACACAGGTACTTCCCACGAGGTCACCCATCCCAATACTATTACGGGCCAATGGTGCATGACTTCCGATCTCATTTGCACCATCTTCACCCAAATAGGAGGGCAGGTCATTACAGGTGTGTCTAAACTGCAAGATGACCGGAATACAGCTTCAATGACCAGGTGTTGTCCTCGGCTGAAGAAGGTTGGCAGTTAGATAATATAGGGTGTGGAATGTCGTGTGATTTGTCTCGGTCGCGATATGTGGTAGATTTCGAGTTTTGAATATTGGCGTTACATTCTTGGATATAACTAACCCAGCCCATGTGTCTGAAAGGCACGCCCATTTGGAGTTCGAATCCTTAACGGATTAGATGAATCGAATAACTCGAAATCATGCGGGGCCGGTAGGCCAGTTTTTCGATCACTTGCGTACGAAATACCATCGCGTAATATAGGTTATCGGTAATCATGGAACAATTTCGAAATCACTCTGGGTGAGTCGACCAATGAATGGAGTAGGAGGCATGCCTGTGCTTCAATTTTGGTCAGCCGACGAATGGAGTAGCAGGCATGCCCGTGCTATCTATGAGCGAATATTGCACGTTGAACTCCTTTCTCTAAGAATGAGCTGGAGCACTTGCTGTAAATGTTGCGGGTAATTCGGAAATGGTTTACGGAATTTCTCGATTGCTGTCAATATCGGACGCGGTTGCGTCCAGGTTCGGATATGGTTTTGGTGTCTCGAGGTCATTTGATTATATGGGGTATCTGTAAATGATGCATGATCCTTACCCCGGGCCTATTGCCGGCATTTCAGCGATGGTCATTAGTGCCCTGTGGATGTGCTAGAGCAATTGTGTCCAGTGTTGCAGTCTTTATGCGTTGCCCCATGAAGGTTGTGTCAAATCGGACCCAGCATGTTTGTGATGGTTGTCAAATCGCACGTTTTACCAAGCGTCTTGTTTCAAGGTCAGTGATTTATATCGACTAGTTGTATAAAACGGATGCATGATCCTTACCCCGGGCGCATTGACGATATTCTAGATGGTCATTAGTGCCCTGTGGATGTGCTAGAGCAACTGTGTCCCGTGTTGCAGCTTTTGTGGATTGACAACATGAAGGCTGTGTCAAATCGGACCCGATATCGTCAGTCTGGTTCTTATTTTAAGTTTCCTGAACTGTTACCTCGAAGACGTGCGAGGGTTGACAATGCGCAGTAATTTGTGCAAGTCAGTCGGTACTGAAACCGTCATGTTGGTTGCAACTTCGTCCGTTTGTGCAGTTTGGAAGTATGCAGTTTGTGCAAGTTAGTTGTGTTTCGACAAATGATCCCAACTCAAGCTGTATTTTCCCTTTCGACACGTGATCCTAACTCCACACGCACACACACACACACACACACACACACAGACACAGAGAGAGAGAAATTTGTCTTGCGTTGTAATTCTTTGTGGAGGATCCACATGAAGTCTCTGTGTTGTACGGTTAAACTGTCAAGTACTCGTGGAACAGCGTGAGACAGTTTTATGTACAGCATTGCAGTTGGAAGACCATCTACTGTCGACAAAAAGGAGAACTATTCTTGGTCAAGTCTGTGTTTGGCAGAACTATTCTGTGTTTGCTAACGGCCATTGTGTGTGGTTTTGCTGTTTTTGTTGAACGGATGTGTGAAGCTCCTATCAGCATTTGATGTCCATAACAATTATGTTGACTGTGCTCGGTGGCTCGGAGATCTCGTCTTGTCGAAGAGTGTGGATAACGAAATCGTTCTTTGGAAGCCTCCAAAGGTGCTTGGGAATGGCCATTCAGATGTGAGTAGATTTCCCACCCTTCTTTCTCTCTGATCTCTCTCTCTCTCACCGTTGGCAATCTGTATTTACGAAGAGGCGTCAATGTATTGCAGTCATTGTGCGGATGGATTGAATTATCTCATTCTCATCTTACCCACAGTTTTCCCGCTTCTATCATTCTGCCCATTCATTGTGTGCGATTTTCATTGTGTGCGATGGATCGGTGCAGAGCATCACTACATTCTGCACCCGATCAGAACACCTGGTCATCCTAGCCGTATTTGGTGCAGTTTTCNGTTTTCATTGTGTGCGATGGATCGGTGCAGAGCATCACTACATTCTGCACCCGATCAGAACACCTGGTCATCCTAGCCGTATTTGGTGCAGTTTTTAGTCCACATACAGGTATAATGACTGGGCGTTCTATTCGGGTGAAGACGGTAGTGTGTGTGGAATGCATTTACTTCGAATTCCTTTTCATTTTGTCACACAAATAAAGTCTTCAGTCAGGTGTATAGTTGCTTATAAGAAAACGAATCTTGTTCCTATTGTACCTGTTGGATAGATTGACTACCGACTTCACGCGAATAGGAATGCACGGTCCTGATAGCGGTATTAGGGCCAACTTTCAGTCTAGATACAGCTGTAATGACTGGGTGTTCTTTTCGTGTTAGGTTTGTATATCCTAGGTTGAGGTGTCAGCTGAATGTTCTGCTCTAGCGTACAGACCCATTGTTGTAAATGGACACGCATATACCTTTCTCGGCCTTTTGGCTAAGATCAAGTGTAGTATCTGTTCTGGTCAGTTTAATATTTGATCCGTGGTCCATGGGGCCACATTTAAAAAAAAATAAAAAAATAATGGAGACGCATGTCATGAGTTATTTTCTAATAATTGTTATATTTTGTTGCATGTCGTGAATTATTTTGTCGCATGTGGCGAATTATTATTAGAGTCTTGTGACTCATGATAACTGTCCTGGACGACTGCTTTGGTGTGCTGTGGACGGCATTTGATTGATGCAGGGATCTGTGGACGTCCTTCAGAAGTATGCTGTTCCTGAGTGTGACATATGGTTCATGAAGTTCTCGATGGATTTTCACTGTACCACTCTAACAATAGGTGAGAAGGAGAAAGTTGTTCCACTGCTAAGTTATCCTGGAAGTCAATTGTTGAACTGAAACGTGGATGAAGTTATCCAACTGCTAAGCTACTGTCTTCGCCCGAATAGAACGCCCGGGCATTATAGCTGTATTTGGCACAAATTAAGCTCAGATACGGCGATAATTACCCGGCGTTCTATTCGGGTGAAGATGGTAGTGGCTGAACTGAAATGTGCACGAAAAGGGGACCTCTTAGTCGGGGAAGGGAATCGAATTTCGTCACAAGATGGTATTCATGAAATTTCTCTCTGGTTGTTTGCATTCCATGTGTTCTCTTTGAAGGGTAGATTTTAAACCAAAAACAATTGTTGTGCCGTCGGCCTCGCTCGGCTGCTCACAAAATGTGCGAAGTGAGAGCAAATCAACGGCTGGAACAGGGGGTGGCACACCACCATTTGTTTTTTTGTTTTTGTTGTTTTGTGCATGACGTGAAAAGTGTTGTCCCTTTTGCTTGTCGTGTGTAGTGTCGTCAATAGTTTATTCTATGTGATGCTATGCCAATCTCAACAACCGTCTTCCCTGGAACATGGCGCATCCTGAATCTGAATGTATACAAATCATATTTCCGACTGAGTGCAGTCATAATGAGGTTACGTTGTGCTCTGGGGATGATGGTAGGTTGTGTGGAGTTGTGTAACTCTGGATCTGAAATGGGTTATGGGTTAGTTTTGAGGTCCGTAATTTTGTAGTTGTTGATAATGCATGATCCTTACCGCGGGCCTATTGCCGGCATTTCAGAGATGGTCACGAGTGCCCTGTGGATGTGCTAGGGCAATTGTGTCCAGTGTTGCAGTCTTTATGAATTTGCCGATATGAAGATTGTGTCAAATCGGACCGTTGATGTTTGTGATGGTTGTCAAATCGGACGTTTCACAAAGCCTCTGAAATAGGCTTGTTTCGAGTTCAGTGATTTAATTATTTGTATAAATAATTTATGGAGGGGTTGTAAATAATGCAGGATCCTTACCCCGGGCGCATTGACGATATTCTAGATGGTCATTAGTGCCCTGTGGATGTGCTAGAGCAACTGTGTCCCGGGTTGCAGCTTTTGTGGATTGACAACATGAAGGCTGTGTCAAATCGGACCCGATATCGTTATTCTGGTTCTTCTTCTCAAGTTACCTCGAATAGTTGTGAGAGTTGAGAGTGCGGAGTGAGTTTTGTGCAAATCGGAATAATTGCAGTTAGTCTTGGGCGATTGCTTGGTTATTTAGGATCCTTATTAATGCCCTATGGATGTGATAGAGCAATTGTCCCTTCTCCTCTGCATTGGAGCATGCATAATGCCCTATGTGATAGAGCAATTGTCCCTTTTCCTCTGCATTGGAGCATGCGTAGAGCTGTTTTTTTGACACGTCGGCGGTGTTGCATGTCCTCCAGTGAATTGGTTATACTTATTTCCTTTTGAGATGTTGAGACGTGATGAGCGAAAACTGGTCTCAGGTGTCGGTAACGCATCAGGAGTGTGAGTTATTTTCCCACTGGGAAGTAGCGATTTCTTTGAAAATAAACGACCGTCTTCACCCGATAAAACAGAACAGAACGCCCGGTCATTATCGCTGCATCTGGACTGAATGTCGGGCCAAATGCGGCTATAATGGGTGCACACATTCAAGGTACCCCATGAGCTTTTACCACGCTCCTCCTTGCCTGGAGTTGCGATCAAGCAGAGTAAGAAGAGCATGATTGATTTCGAACTACCAGCACACAGCCATGCATGGCCTAAGGGAGTAATGACGAGTGTTAAACTACCAGCACACAGCCATGCATGGGCTGCGGGTCCGTTGATGAATTTATGGAAGGTGCGCCGGCCCCCGAAATTTTCCGAGTAGGCGACGATTCTTTTCTGCATGGCTGGGCACGTCGTGCTCATTTTCTCATTTTCCTGCTTGTTCCGTCTCTGACTCGCTGTTCTTTCGTGCTCTCCGTTTTGCAGGGAATCGGGAAGGAAAAATCTTTGTGTTCGAGCCGCAGAACTCTCCCCTTGCTATTACCAAGTGAGTGTGATATGTCTTTACTTCCCTCAAGCGAATCTCACGAGATATGTCGGCAGCTTATGTCTATATCCACTTTCGATGTATGATGGTTTTGTTTCTTTGTCGTGGGGATTTTGGGCTGATAACAGCAGCTATATATGCGGTGTGTGGCCAACGAATTGTTCTATTAAAAGCTCTAGCGATGATCTTTGCTTCAAATTTATTGCTGGGTGGAATGTGCCACTCCGTCGTTTTCGAGTATGGATGGTGCGGGTAGCTGTTGGAATTGCGATAGGCATTTTGATGGTGTCATGTAAATATCACGATGCACTTTAGTCCTGCCCTCTTAAATCACAAGAACACCCAGTGGCGCTCTTTTTTTTTTTTTTTTTAGGCTGGCGCCACCATCCATTGTCACGGGATTGGCACGAGGCACAATGTTTGGGGCCGTGTACTGGCGGCTCAGAGCCACCGTTGTGAGGACTGCCCTCAAAAATTATCGGGTGTATGCCAATTTGTACGATTGCGACCTAGGGGCTCGGAGGGGTCTGGTTTGGTTTGGTTGGAGGCAAAAAAGATGAGCTTCGGCATTGTAGTGTCCGCTGTAAATATGAAGATGGGAGGTTGTAATTCGCTTAGCATATCGATATGTGTCGCTTGTTGTGCAGGTTGGGAACTCCACAATGCAAGTCTCCAGTTCGACAAACTGCAACATCTTTTGATGGGAGGTAGGTTTCGGCAGGTGATATTTAGTTGGCCAATTGTTGGACCCTCTTTTTGTATTTTTCTCTTTGACTGTGATTTTCCTGTGGATTGTCTTTTCTCTGTGTTTTTAGATGTTTTGGTCTCTCGATGTTTTTGTTTCTATTAAGAAAAATAAATGTTCCTACCACCCAGCAGTTTCCCCTTCCCCCCTTCCCCCTCCCCCCTTGTTTGAAATGGACCATTTCTCGATTTATGCCTCGAATTTTGGAGGAAGAAATGTGTCCAGCAGTTGGCGGCTTGCAGAGTTACATGTGGCAGAGATTTCCTTTGTGCGCTTGCTGTTGACTACAATTTCCTCATCTTTTGGTGCGTACTTTGTTTTCATTATAAAAGCCGCGTCCATTTGACAGTGGATCTACTCTTGTAAGTAAAGTATTGAATGCCGTGTTGCGTTGGCTGCATTTCCGCGCTCGTCTTTTGGATGTTAGATGTGGTAGTCGACTTCCTTTGTGCGGTCTCTTTTAACTGCAAGTTCTCCCTTATCTTTTGGTGCGTGCTTTTTGTTTTTATTACAGGCGCATCCATTTGACAGTGGACTGCTCTTGTGAATGAAGTTTTGAATGCCGTTTTCGATTGGCGGAATAGGCCGACGGCTCCCATTTTGAACTTCAAATGCGATGTGGAGTGTGCGGAGCATTGGAATATAGTCGATAGCGGTTTTCAAAGAACGAATGGTTCTTTTTATCTCGTCGTGGAGTAGAATGTAGTTGGTGCACCATTCTAACATTGGACTGTGCGCCTCGTTCTTGGTTATGCAGCACAATTCTTTGCTGCTGCGAGGATGGCAGCATTTGGAGATGGGATCTGTCGACAGCATCCTCGAAGGATGAGTAGGGGGAGCACAAAGGATGTCCGGGCTAAAATGTTCTTTTATTACTGTTTATATTAAAGGTGCGTGTTCTATCACGACCTGCCCTTTTATCCTCCTTGGCTGCTGACCATTGACTGGCGGAGTTTGCAAAGGGGGGGGGAGGGGGGAGGAGCTTCAATGTTCCTCTTTTTTTTTTTTTTTTTTCTGCAGTCTTGTGTGGAAAGGGCTCAGGAAATCCAGGCAAGTGTCTTCCCTTTGTGGTTGTGGTGTGCATATCTGTCGGGGTAAAAATGTTGGCAGGGTACGTCTGGGTGATCCAAGCACGTAACCTTCACCCCTTGTTTGCGTTTCTTTTTCGTAGATGTTAGATCACCTCTTATATAAATGCGTTATCCTTGGGCAGGGGCCATGCTCTAATCTTCTCGCCGTCTCGTTACAATTTTAATGGATGTCCAAAGGGACTATGTTTGCAATTTGAGTTTTGTACTATTAATTGTCCTAGTGCTTTATGGGAATACAGCCACCATCACTGTGTTTCCATCAGCCGGAAAACGCATAGTTTTCCTCACGTTTGCAGGAATTCGCCCGGAGCCCCAGTGTGTTACTACTAAACCGTAGTGGCCTTGTATTCAGTAACAGATCGCGGGCTCGCGAGTATAGTTTTCGCGGATGTACGTGAACTCAGAAGCTGGCCAAGTTCTTGAGACGGTTGTCAGGAAAATTTACTGCCCTTTTAGCTGCAGAGGGAGACGGGTCTTGCGGACTCGCGAGTATAGTTTGATTGATGCCTAGTGTGATGTCGGTGCACGCTCTTTCCTATGGGTACTCCTTTAAGGTGGGTCCTTAGAGCGTGCGGTTGCTGCCAGCGGCCCCGATGAGTACAGTTTGATTGATGCCCAGTGTGATACCTGAGAGTCTATCAACAGAGTCAAGTTGAGGACAGCGTGCGGTTTTGACGCCAGCGGCCCCGATGGCTTGTGTGGGAATGATGACAAATAGCCAAATCTTATGAAAGCAGCCGCAGTAACTTGCTGAGCTGTGAAGTGATGAAACTTGCTGACCGAGAAGTAAGGATGATATCTGATCCCCTGCCACCGGGTGCCCCAAAACCAGTGGCAGCTGTTGCCAGTCCGGGTAAAAGGATGCCTGTGCTGGTTGGTTGCGATGATGAGAAAAAAAGGCCGTTCCGACTGCCACCCACAAGACGGAGACTGAGTGCCAGTTCTATGACGCTGGCTCCTGTCCCTTGACGCTGTGATGGAGGTAGCATGAAGAACTGTCATGAAGGTTAACTCTGAGCATACCGAGTAGACTGGCCGTCGAAGATACTTGGGTGTGATGGACTTGCTCTGCTAATATTCAAGATGGATAAGGCGGTTCTATCCTGACGTGGAATTTTTGTTTCTTGTTGTTTCGGCCAGCGGTTCTATCCTGACGTGGAATTTTTGTTTCTTGTTGTTGTCTCTCTGGTTGTGGGATATGTTGTTGTTCATGGAGTGTTGGGTTCTGAACACACAGAGAGAGAGAGAGAGAGAGAGAGAGAGGTTATGCATATATCGCTGGTCTTGCTGTGTTGAGGTTCTTCGATGTGGGTTTTGGCATGCCTTGTGGTGGTGTTGCTGAATTGTGTGCACTGAATTATGTTGCTGAATGTCATTCCTGTACTGCTTTGTGTGTAGCTTTTTGCTAACATCGCCTGCTCTTTCGTGTTGTTCTGTGTGATGGTGGATTGTGGCTGCTCTTATGTGGTCTTGTCCACAGCGGGAGGATGAATTTTCAACTTTCGGCGCAAGAGCCAGCATTATCTATTGAAGGGGTTAAGTGGTGGGGCCATATTGTTGTTTTTTCCGAATTCTTTCGATGATACCAGTTATTCTATCGTCAAGATGTCAAGTTCCGAACTGTGTGGGAGTATGACGTCTTTTTTTTTTTTTTTTCGATGTCATGTGTAGATTTGCTCAGGAAATTATGGGAACGTTACTATCCCCTGCGGATGGGATGCTGTCTGTGGTCCCTGCGGATGTCACTCGATTGCTTTCCCTCGCTTTTCCTCATATCCGTTTTCAATTGTGATTGATAAATGTCGAGGCGGACTTTATCCAAGTATGGTGAGGAAACGAGGAAATAGGTTGAGACTTTAAAATCTTCATGGTGCTGTGTAACAGTATTCGGTTGCGTCATTTGGGAAGAACAGAGTTTCCATCTCTTTTCCTATCTCGACTTCATTGGCAGTATTCGGCGATGCTGTGTTGTCAAATACGATGGAGAATAACTGGCAGTTTGTTTGTACTTGATTTCCCCTACGGGGGTTAGGACAGCTTGGCCTTCATATTGATTCTCTATTCCAGCAAATTGGGAGGGGTTGGACATCTCGGCCTCCCTTTTGCATGTACTGCAGTAAATGTTAAGAACATATTTTTCGTCAACGATTGGCTCTGTATGAAGCTTCCGTGTTCGTTGTTCCGTTCTGTTTCTGTTCCGGATTGAAGGGGTGAGGTTGAGGTAGAAAACACGTTAGATGAAGCAACTCGCACTTGTTTGTTGCTGATTATGTAGGTTCGGATTGACGGGGGCGAGGTCGGGGTAGAAAAAACGTCAGGTAAAGTAGGCAGTACTCGCACAGTGCACTAAATACGCCAATTGAAAACGCGGAGTGTGGAAAAATATACATTAAGAAATCTCGTCGTATTCAGTGGGTATGGCTACACAGAAGTGAATATAGCACGTCACGTCGCTATTCTTGGTATTACACTACTGAAATCTACCCAAACCAAAACAAGTGGCACATTTCCGCGCACATTTCCGCTTAAGAAAGGCGCCTAAAAAAGAATGAAGATGCATTTTCGACCTAGGCCACCAGAGTGGTCGGTCGTCACTAGCCCGGCCTGGCCAAAAAGATTGAAAATTTTTAAAAAGTAAAAAATGTTTTAAAAAATTGTTTTATATTTGAAATTTGGAAAAGAATTTCGATGTGACCCTGAGTTCAAGTTGTTCAGTTTATTTTTCTGCGTAACATACAGGGAACCTGTTGGACTGCTGGAAGATACGTATGCACAGTATCGAAGTATTTTCTTGCATCATTTTTTGCCCTAAACGCACCATTCTTGATTTTAATGTATTGTGCAAAGGAAAAAAAAGCTTTCTTTATCCTTTGAACTGTAGACCGTCCACACGGTACCAGCACCTACCATGAATCATACAAGCACCACGGTGAGGGCTTTCTGTACGATAAACTCTAGTTCCAAGTTTGAATTTTTCTGCGAACTCTGCTGACGAGCCCGTGGGATTCAGAGAAGTATAGAAGTTTCCTCTTTTGGACTACAACACCACGAACGTGAATTTAGTAATGTGGCGGTTGTTCCTGCCGTCTTCAGGCGATTAGAATGCCATAATGTGTCGGTTGTCCCCGCCGTCGTTATCAGTGTATCTAGAAAGTTCGGCCAACTACAGCCATAATTACCGCGCTTTGTATTCAGGTGATGACGGTAGGGCTTTGGACAGAAGTTATGACTAGTATCGCTCAATCGTCAAATGTGAAACAGCTGTTATTGTGCTAGTGGTTGCGACAGAAGAAATGCGTGAGAAAGGCAGGGGACTTCGTGATGGGAACTGTGTAAATTTACGCACTGCCTTTTCAGGCCTACGGATTGATGCATTCCTTGGGCTTTGTAAAACAGTGCAAAATTGAAACCCTATGGTGCGATTCGTTTCCTAGGACCTCTGCGAGCTTTCCATCTGCAGATGGTGGGAAAGGGATCCACACTGCTTCCGCAGGACTGTGTACAATTGACCGAAGGGACAAGGAAATGTTCGTGTGAGGGAGAAGGAACCACTTAAGTACTGCATTGCGACTTTCACGAATGCAGAGAGACACAGCGGTCTTCTTGTGGACAATTTGGTGTGGCGATAGGAAGCAGTTAAATAGTGCAATTTGTTAAACAGAAAGTACAATCTGGTTGGTCAGTTTGTCTTCTGTCGTGGGTGTTTTAATGCGGTGTAACCGTAAGTTTTTTTTCTTTTTTTTTCTGTCGTGGTTCTTTAATGCTGTCCTTCCGTTATTGAAATTTTATTGCCCTTCCGATCGCTGTATGCCTTAACAATGTCGTTTAGAAGCATGATTGTCATGCAGGTGCGGCTAGGCCTGTTCTCTTGTATATTCTGTTGACTTCGTTTTTCTTTTTTTTGTTTGCTTTCTTCTTCGTATTTTTGCGTTTTTGTTTTTATAGGATGTGTGGCATGTAGGCGCCGCGAGGTGTTTTCCCATGTCTTTTGTTTTTCCCTCGGTTCCCTCAACCGTTTATAGATTGTTGTTTTATAGGTCGTGGCACTGACTTTTCAGGCCGGAGGATGGTTGCGTTCCTTGGGTCTTGTAAAACAGTGCAACAAGTAATGTTTAGGCTTCTCAGCCAACTTCTTGCATTGGGATTGTACCCTGTGGAAGAGGGCAAGGCAGCTAAATGACTTCTGTGGAAGAGGGCAAGAAAGATAAATGACTTAATATTCGGAGGTGAGTAGCAACCTCTCAAAGACACGGGCATCTGCTTCCACAAATGGAAATGTACCAAGGACATGTATTCTTGTTTTATACGTCATGGCACTGACTTTTCAGGCCGGAGGATGGTTGCGTTCCTTGGGTCTTGTAAAACAGTGCAACAAGTAATGTTCAGGCCTCTTAGCCGACCTCTTGCATTGGGATTTTACCCTCTGGAAGACGGCAAGGAAGCTAAATTTTTCCGAGGCTAGTAGCAACCTTCAAAAATACGGGCGATATGAACTTTTGGCCGGCCTGATGTAATTCAGGATAATAGTAGTTTACTCGTCTGCTTCCGGAGATTGATGTCAAATTGAAATTGAGGGATGAACCAACAGAGCGGAGGCCAGTCGGCTGAATTCTATACTTAGCGCGACAAATCAATTGGAAAGGTTGTGAGTATGTGGTTTGATATATATGGCCGGAGAACGATTCAAAACAGGGCAAAGTACAGACTGCCAGGTCCTGCGCCCTCTAGTACATCGTCGAGGCAGCTGTTGTGGCTGCTGAATGTGTACCCTTGTCCACCGGGACCACCATCCCTTCGTCTGTCTTTTACGACATCCTCTTTTAACTTCCTCCTTTTCTTTGTGCTCCTCTTGGCATTCCTAGCACACCTCATCGGCCTGATCATCGGCACAGTCATGGTCAGATCGGTCATCACGGCTGCCCTCTTCGATGGAGATGTTCCCCATCTCGACCGCAGCCTTCCAGACATGAACAGCGTGATCATCACGCCCGTTTGCAGCCGTACGTACGGAACAAAGATGTCGGTCATAAATGATTGCGCTTGTCCACGATGTGGCGATGACTCTTACGATGCAGCAGGCCTGTGTGGGGAACAGGCTTTAGGTGAAGAGATCTGTGCAGCATTTGCACAATTACCCATAGCAGCAAATTTCAGAGCAAATTTCCAGTTTTTGTTTACGGCCCCACATTTCTTATCCGCCTCCCAACATTGCTCCCCCACTCCAAATGATTGTTGTCCACGCCCTGGTCCTGTGAAGTAGTTCCCAATGGATTTAACATATTACTTGGGGTGTCTGATATAGAATTTCAAGACCAGAATGAATCCCCCCCGTGCCGGGCAATCTGCAGTATCAGACGATCTCATTGTGATAAAAGACGACTGTCTATTATGCAATCAACACATGTCTCCTTGCTTACAATTGCAACCCGTACACGTATGAAACCCCCCGTTCATTGAACTATGTCAGATCAGGCGGCCAATCCCAGACATAGAGAGGGCACTCTTATACAAAAGGGCATCCCACGCTGCACACTGTAGATATCCAATCTAAATCATTCAATACAGTGTTAATTTGTTTTGGGGGGAGGATGAGGTGACAAATGTTATAGCATTGCTTCTCATCCTCATCATTGCTTCTCATCCTCATCGGGATGTGACTATATGAAAGGACAGTTGTCATGGGAAAGGCTCGTGTTCAGTGCCAAAACAGGAAAATCTCTATGGTAGTATCTCTTCTGAAGAATCAGTGCTAACTTCTAATTCGGCAAGCCACCAGCCCATTCTTATCAAGACCGCAACCAGAAGAATCAGTATCTCTACGAGGTGGGGGTAATCAAGCAGGCAGGCACTTGTTAGTCGGACGGAGCAGTAGTGTCGGCCACTTGAAATCTTAAAAAGGGCACTCCTCGCCATTTGCTGCCCAATCATAGTTTCTTTTTTGTTCAAACCTTCTGCACCAATGAATATCTAGGTTTGCGTAGCACTGACTTTATGAGGGGACTCTACTACTAGAGGATTTTCGAAATAGTAGCACGGTCTTCCTGGTGGTCATTTGAAGAGAAGCAAGGATGGCAAATACATGCTCAGCGTATGCTAATCACCAGATACATGCTCAGCGTATGTTAAGTACCAGGATAACAAATACATGCTCAGCGTAAGCTAATCAACCATCGATACTGGCAAAACATGCAGCAGCGTGAAGAAACGTCAACGTCAGACTGCTATTAATCAACGGAGTGTCGAGGATGAATTGGACCATCCATCCCAACGCCGTACGGAACCCCCCATTATTTGCATCCTACAGAGAACATCGACAAGCGATCAAGATGCATCATATGTAGAGAAGAGAAGAAAAGATTAGAGAACTAGTAAAATAGAAGACCGTAAATTATCCCAGAGGAAATCCGGCTTGCAGGACTTAGCACTTTCCGGAAAGACGAGACAAAGAGCACAACAACCCTCCTTAGCAAATGAACTCCACGTGCAAATGGCAGTTACAATAGTTATCACGAGTAGGAATTAGTGCACAGTCATATGATGCACACAAAGAAAACAATTAGCACTGCGAACCTCCGTGAGAGATTTGAAGCAATACGGGATAAGGCCGAAAGTAAGTCCAAAAAATGTTACATTTGAGGCAGGGACAAGGCCGGAAATAATTGCGAAAAATATGAAGAGCGATCTGGCAAGGTCTCATAAACCACCTACTTCGCCCAGCAATCGATGCCGAGCCTGGGGTGCACCTGCGTGCCGATGGTCGCCGAAGCGCTGGGTTACCGTTTCGAAATTGTTTTGGCTGGCGCATCCAGCAATTGACATCCGGTACCCCGTTGCCCTAAAGGGTTATTTCTTATTCTACTTGTAGCCAATTAGGTTATATGGTATTCGCTTGTGGTATCTCCAATTATTCTGTGAGTGTATTTCATCTGATGAACCACGCTCTTTTTAGAGCATTACTTTTTGAGTGCAGGTTCTGTGATTCATGCAATGTCTGATGAACAAGATACGCGCAAAAGGGGAGGATTAGCTCGTTAACCGGAAAGCGCCGCGGCCGATAGATCGGCCTAGTACTGGTGGTATAACTAGCCACCGAAAGACTTGTTGTCCCCTTATTCTGCTCCTTCGAAGCGTGCAGGCAACAAAGCAGCTCTCGAGCTCCAGTACACCCTGCTTCGCATTATCGGAAAAGGATAATGTCTACATCGCTCTGTTCCCAAGAAGTATGCAAACTCCAACGTGGACCATGAAGGTCCCCTACTCTGCTCCTCCATAGCGTGCAGGCAACAAAAAGCAGCTCCCAAGCTCGTATACACCCTGCTTCGACGTTATCAGAAAAAGACAATGTCTACATCGATCCGTTCCGAAAAGGTATGCAAATTCCAACGGGGCGGGGCCCATGAATGGCGAAAAAGCATTCCCTTTGGTAGGGCCTTTCTCAGACGGGCGCACCGTTTAATGTCTACGTGAGAGATGAAAGCAATCTGGTAGAATGCCGAATTGAACTCCGAAAATGGTGAAGCGCGCTCGAGAACACGTTGCAGCGAGGTGCATTAGCTGTTAAAAGACT